GTGTAGTGGTTGAACATGCTGTGTTGGACACTGAGATTGCAGGTTGCTGGTTCAATTCCCTGTGGTGGCATTTTTTTTGCCGCCGCTGCACCCACTAACAAATATCGTACACTTGACCTTGATCAAGAGCAGCTGTTCTATGATTTACTTCCATGCATATCATCTATATTATTCAATACATCTCACAGTGAACTTGGGCATGAACTTGAACAGGGACTTGGAGGACTTGGCCAAGTACCTGGTACTTGGCCAAGTCGACCCACCCGACTTGGCCAAGTCCATTGGACTTGGGGTACTTGAGGTACTTGGGATACTTGAGGTACTTGGCCAAGTACCCCAAGTACCTGTACAAGTCCGTGACGTTTTCCTGATGTACGAGAAGCATGAACACAAAGGTGCGATGCTGCATGGAAAAAACGAGATCACTATCTGAAATAATCTGTTGACGGACTGCCTTGCGCGACTTCGCCTGTGACTCCAATACGGTATCGAGGTGTTCAATGTCTTCATCGACAAATGGGTCATACTTGTCGCCATCTTTGCGATTCTTGAACTCCACAGGCACGAGTTGGAGCTCCCAATGTGGGCGACCATCATTTGGAGCTTCACTAGGGCGAAAGAAACCACAGTCGATCCGCTGCGCTGTACTATCCGTAACCTTGGAGTGAGGTCGAGACTCAGAGCGACGGAAAGCCAATTTTGGGCAGAGTTTGTGGTTATTCAGGACTTTGACCTAGTCGTTGTCAGTCCAGGCTACACTAGAAACGAGCGTGTGTGGCTCACAAACTCGTCTACCACCGTAGCTTCGGTCCACGAATCCGCGTCCTCCATACTCTCGAAGGGATTGGTGCGGTGCCGAGGACGCATGTTCGTCCGGGGGTGAAAGGGTAGGAGAACATTCAAGAATTCCTCTGGGCTTCCTGACTCCACGTAACGGTCATGCATGTCTTCTTCCGATTTGGCTCGATACTCCTCAAGCTTGGGTTTCTGCACATTCTCGTCGAGACCGTTGGCTTTACGCGGTTGCAGAGGAGAAGACTCTATTTGAGCCGAGGCCATGGTGCGAGTCGCGGCGGTCGAGGAGTCAGGTTGAGGAGCAATTCTGGAGTTGGCGTCGGGATGATGGGTGGTTAGGCCTCAGGATCGTGACAAGGTGTGGTTGAAATGTCGTGAGCACGGCGGCGGAGTCAACAGGAGAACAATTGTGCGACGGCCCGGCAAAAAGCGGGCGGTCCTCGCGCATACTCATGACCTGTGACCTTTTTCGAGGGTGCAAACACGGCGGGAAAAGCGCCAGGCTCCAAGCAGGGAAATTTGTGTGGCATTTATGGGCAACGCAACCTGACCTTAGCAATTCCAGTGGGCCTTTGTATCCCTCTTTGTGATTTGGGTAATCTTATGGGCACGTTGCATGGCCCGTATATTTAGCATAGATTTCCTCACCTGGACCATCGCGCTTTGCCTGCCGTGAAAGGCCCCCAACACTCGTCCGACCCATTCTTATCGGAACTCTTCAAGGATTGTTGTCCTTATGTATATGCAACGGATGTTTCCTGATGTCAATATGTCAGAAAGCGTAGCACGCAAGAGACATCAGGATTGCAGCACTCGCCTCAGAACGCAAAACTATCTAAGCGGTAGCCTTCTTTGTTACGAACCACACGGGCGCCTCCTAAATACTACAGAGACTACACACGACAGATGCGACCTGCTCTAGGGGTCAGATAGTATCAGACTCAACACACACATATCTGCGCCGGAGTTACAGGGCTCTTCCTGTGTCGTCCTCCGGGCAGTGCGGCTGATCAGTTATGCCCACAGCAGTCATATCACTAGAATATGAGGGTTATGCAATCTAAAACCTAGGATCAGGTTTATGAGTGAGACTACGAGGATCATCATGCGCCCGCGTTGCCAGCTCTAGGAGGATGGTACTAAGAGCATGCACCCGATGTCAGAATGACATTCCTTTCCACGGGAGACGTCTACTGCCTATCGAGCAGGGCCACTGGATTCTATGGAAGACGTACCTTAGGCGCTATTTTATGTCTCCAACGTGGCAAATGCGTCCTTTCCACCAGCATACAGGATGACAAATGACACGGTTGAGACTTGCGAACTTGACGATCTGAGGCTTAACAATAACTTGCGACTCTGAAACATTTGATCTAGCGCTGCGAGGACTTTTAGAATAGGCAGGCATTCATAAACAGCCGCAAAGATGATGAAGGTAGCATATGCAAGAGCTAGATTGAACATTGGTGTATCGATGTCAAGCTTAGCAGCACGACGGTAGAAAATATTGTGACGGCGGGGCGTCTAGTGGGGTGCCGCCATCACAAGCGCCCGATCGAGATTGGGGTTGTGCTGGACTGCAGTGCCAGTGATGCCAAAGGAACTCAGCACAAATGCAACACGGCTTCGTGGCCGAGTACAGTGATAAGTGCGTATAAAGTTGAATAGGAAATCTATGATTCATTTTCAAATGACACTGGATAAGTTACGATTAGAATGAAGAGGAGGAGAAGTTGGAGAAGAAAGAGCTAGGCTCAACTAAGTCGTAAGTATAGGAACACGGAGCCCCAAGAACAAGTCTATTGAAAACGGATAGGAGACGCAAAAACAAACAGAACACCTTTTCCAATCAACATGGGCGTATAGATATACTGATGATAGAAGGTAGTCAGCATAGGGGTGGGGTAGAGGAAGTGGTCGACCGAAGCCGGAAGGTACTGATGCGGATGTACGTAACGCAGGCATCGTATACTCCATGGCAATGACAGCAGTATACTCCAACCGTCATCTAAGCCCTTCGACGTTTTAATCGGCTTCCCTGGAGTGCAGCGGCCCGAGTCCGACTGCGCGTGAGGCGCATCGACGATTGTGAGCGGGAAGGAGCTGCACGTATCGTCTCCCTAGTAGGAGCGACCTTGCGACGTCGCTTCGGAGAGGGGGCAGATTCCTCGGACTCTTGTTCAACGTCTTGTTCGGAAGAAGGTGATGGCGGAGCCGGAGGCTGAGGTAAGCGATCATCGTCTGGCCAGTCGTTATAACGGAGCAACTTGTCGATGAAATCGATCACGAAGGAATGGTCTGCGACAAGGCTAGCGCATTGACGGTCCTCGTCCGTGGGTGTGTTGTCTAGCGGTACACGGGCCTTGAATTTCGCCATGTACTCAGTCAACTCTGGGTTGTCTTCTAGGCTTGTCACAGGCAAGAAATTCCGGGCAGCGAGAGCTGCGCGAGCGTCCACAGGGCTCTCCTTACTTCTCGACGACGAAGGGGAAGGGGGTGACGGTGAGCGCGCCTTCTGAGCTTCGAACTCCATCACATCGTAATGCGCCTTGAAGCTCCAAAGAAGCGTTCCGAGGAGCCCATCCATCGGGCTGCGGAAGAGCAACGGCCCTTCGGGCACCAGCGTGCTAAGGTATCCGTCATGCTCGACGGCTATCGACTTGAGACCGCCAGTGTATGCGTTCGGCATGCCGCAGTAGAAAAAGTAGTTGTTTATCCAGGAGTTGGGGCTAGTGCAGTTGGAACGCACGTAGGCGACGGAATAGTAGACCAGGACGTGGAGGAACGACTCTAGCTCGTCTGATACTCTGACGGGCTGAAGCGGATTATCCAACAAACTGACGGACATGAACTGACGTGTTCCCTGGTAGCAGTGAATTGTGTTTGGTAATGGTGGTAGACTCATAAAAGAACTTGAGGACGAACCAGGCGGACTCCCTTCACCAACTGCGGTACTTCTTCAGAATCTCTAGGCAAGGAGAGCTCCCAATCGATGAGAAGGCCCGACCAAACTATCGAAGCGCCCTTCCCGTCCTTGTCAGGCCGGATCCTGGGATAGATGAGGATGTTATCTCCGCTAACGTCGCGATGAAGGCGGAGGATTGCGGGGTTGGTGGAGGCGTGGCGGTGCGCTACGACGTCAAGTGTCAGGACTAAGATTTGACAGGAACAAGTAGATCTCACCATGCAGGCAGTCGAGGACGATAGATACGAGTTGCTTTCCGCTTTTGAACTTCTTGAGCGGCATAGCGATCTCCTTCACGACGACGCGGTAGTGGATGTAGTGTTGCAGAGGGTCAGCGGTTGCCAGTGTGCCCTCTCGACTCATCGATCGTGGAGCGCCATCTTCGCCCGAGAACTCATGTCCTCTCTTACGCTTTCGACCAGTGGTCGAATCCGCTGCGCGTGTAGACGATGTCGAGGGTGATGAGGAAGGGGAGTGCGGTGACGTCGAGCTAGGAGCGTGCTTACGCTCCCACCATATGTCGGTGACGGTGGCCTGATCGTGTACGTCTCCGTGGCATTCCAGAGTCGGAACATTCTCTATGCCAGCATCGTTGAGTTGACGCAGGACATCGCCCTCTCTTTCGGTGGCCATGGCAGATGCGCGCCAGGTATCCTTGAGCCACACGAAGCATCCTGTTTCGCTGTCAAAAGCGACGTAACCTCGCGTGCCGCGCCCGGTGGTGCCGGATCCACGGAAAATGGGCTTTCCCACGAGATAGGAGCGCAGGCTATCGCCGTCCTGAACTTGAAGTCTGTAGCGTGGCCAATCCCCGGAGAGGCTATCTCGGAAGAGGGAGCGTACGTATCGAAACATTGGCACTTCCTCAAGCTCGCCTTCTTCTACATGACGTTCGGAGTGATCGATGTCGGTGCCATGGTGTGCTGCGGCGATATCCATGCGAAGGTAGTCGGGATCGCGACTCGGAAGGCGGGTGGCGGTAGTGTCGAACCCGAGGGAGGAGTCGTCGAGAAGAGAGAGCCGCCGCAAGCAGTCACATAGCATTGTAGGTCGCTTGTAGTAGTCTGTGAGAGGTGTGGCAACGACTCCTGAACGATCCCAGCGGACGAGTCGAAAATTTCGCCCAAAGACGACGAGCATGAAGAGAAAAACGCGATGCTGGGCGGCGAAGAGGAGCTCGGCGGTGGCAGACAGCTGCTCGAGTCGCTTCTTACGTTCGCGTCCAGTTTTGCTGAACAACTGGACGGAGTCTGCGGAACTGAAAGGATCAGCGCCAGGGACGTGGCTGAAGAATACGACCGGGACTCTCTGGTCCGCCCAGTGAGCTCGTCCACGCCTGGGTACAGAGAGGGAACGGAAAATTGCGGCGTCAGGTCTGCGGTGAGACTCATCGAGAGAGGGCGGATCGGAGTATTGCCGCACAAGCGTTGACCCGGTTATGAGGTGATGGCCACCAACCGCTGAAACCTGGTGGACGACTCAGCCGAGCCACGAACAGTTCAGACTAATACTCACGAAAAATTTCGAAATCGTCGTCGGTTCCAAGTCGTTCGCGTACTTGAGCGAGGCGAAAGGGAACAGGCCAGCACGTCTGTCTCGCACGGTTATATGGGGTGGTTGAAGAAAAGCGCGCGAGAACTCCTCGTTGTCCAGCTCAATCGTGACCACTGAGTGGGCCATGGTGGGTGGCACGGGTAGAAGGAGAGGGCAGAGTTGAAGAGTTGGTCGACATGTAAGAAGATGGAAAGATCATAAGACAATGAAAGACTGCTACGGAGATTTCCGTAGGCACAATTGTCCGGGGGGGGTGCGTGAGGCCTAAGCACTAAGCGTCGGCCCAAGTTGTAAGAGATCATCCGATCATGATGCCCGTAAGAGGACAATTTACGTAGAGAGAGGCCACACCGCGACAGTTTCCGAAGCGGTGTAGATGCGGTACGGAGCTGAATAGCATTGGGTAGCTATGAATGAGCATGAGAGATACGGCGGTTGCTGATGCGTCGACGGTGTTGAGCATCGTCGCCAACCGGTGCCACCGTGACTTGAAGCTTGAAGGCGTCTAATTGTTGGAAAATATCTCGACAAGCGCTCGATCGAAGGTCTTAAAAACTTCGGTCACAAATCTCACTGGCCCAAAGCGGAGGCCATCGTGGCGACTTAGCTTGAACAGAAGTGTCTCTACCTCACGGAGTCCTAAGCGAGTGTGGGATTCAAAGCGAGAAGGTCTAATGGACTCCCGCTGACTGGAGGAGCATACAATTTGAGGCGTCAGCTTCAATGCATGCATAGAGATGAGCAGAAAGAGAGACGGTGCGCTCATGGCTCTCTTAGAGTCGCCGGCGTTCACGGTAACAGGAACAACCACGGACTCGGAAGAGGCATTGCGGACATCAGATAACTCATCCGCCAGCGCCGCGGATGCTCAAGCACCTTCACGAGAAAACCCGAAAAGAAGGGTGGACGCAACCGTGACTTTGGGCCCCTCGCCGCGGATGGGAGTACATTTAGATTCGCCCAATTGATGTCAGGGATCCCAGATCCTGACTCGTAAAGAGTGGGGTGGAACGGACAAGAGGCGAGTCAATATATATCTACAGTTTGGCTCTCAATGGCCCAACTCGATGCGATGAGACGCTACAATAACAGGAGCTCGGGATAAGGGAGTATGTTACAGTACTAAGCAAGCGATGGAATAAGTTATGATCAAAAGTTCTAAGCCACAACGTATGGAGGTAGATTGATGATGGAAGACGGTCTAATGCAGGCGGGGAGGACGGACACAGATGCGTCAACCTGGGGCCGCAGGAGAGGGTATAGGCACAGTACAGCAGGAGCAAAGGCTATTCGCCCGCAAGCTACATGGCAAGATGCGAGCACGCCTCATCACCTCGCTCTCATCGGGAGGGTACGTGGTCTTGGGCGCGAGCGGCGTGTCGACGAATGCAGACGAGCAGGAAGGGAAACCTTGCGCTCTGGGCCCTTCGTCCGCCGCCTCTTATTGCCGGTACTCGTTTCGGTGGGAAGAGCCACTGACCGCCTCAGCGAGTCCCCGTCCACTTCTGCCCCGCTGGTCTCTGCGGGAGGCGTCGGGGGTATTCGATCGCCCCGCTGCCAGCGCTGATGGTGGAGAATCTTCGCGAGATAACCTAACATGAAATCGTGGGTTGCGACCTTGGACGCCAGCTGGAAATCCTCGGGGGTGGGGATGCTGTCAAGTGGGGTATCATCCAGACTATCCCAGTCGACGTGGGCGGTCCCCGAGCCTGACTCGTTAGAGTCGGGCTGAACGGCAACTTCATCGCCATCGTCACGTCGGGAGGGTGGATCGTAACGCGGAGGTGGGCGAGGAGGGCGTGCTTTGCGTGCCTCGTGATACATTACCTTGTAGTGGGCGGCGAAACACTTGACCATGGTAACAAAGATGTTGTTCATAGGGCTGAAGAACTGGAGCGGGACGTAAGGCCGTTGTATATGAAGCACGCCGGAGCTTTGCATCGTGATAGATTTTTGACCGCACGGGTACTGGCAGTCAGGGCCAGCGTAAGCGTCGAAATATCCTCGGATAAAGCCAGTAACGCTCCTGCAGTTGGACTTGAGGTACCGTACGGAGTAATAGAGGAGGACGTGGAGGAAGGATTCTAACTCGTCTGAGACCTTGACGGGTTTGGACAGATCCGTGAGGAGGTTGACCGACATGAACTGATACGTTCCCTTGGTGCTCTACGTCAGCCCCAGATCGACATGGCCACGAGCTATGAGCTAGAAACACGCACCATGCGATTGCCCTCAGTAGCCGCTTCTTGTGCGTCAACCGGTTTCGACATCTCCCAATCGCTGAGTATGCCGGTCCACGCCATCCATGGGGTACCATCCTTCTTACGGATAACTTGGGGGTATATCAGGATGTTGCCGCTGCTGATGTCACGATGGAGCAGACGGAGTTCGGGCTTCACAGATACTTCTTGATGGGCTATCGCGTTACTGTCAGTGTAACGGAAGCCACGACGCATGGCTAAACGACATACCGCGTACGCAATCCAGCACGATGGATACAAGTTGACGACCGTACTGGAAGATCTTCAGAGGCAGACACACCTCTGCCACGACGACTCGATAGTGAGTATGTTGCCGAAGAGGTCCAGTGGTTTCAGGGATGGCGTGCGGCATTGAACCGTCCGCTTGCATGGTGAGCGTGTCGACCACGGCATCGTCAGCCCTCTTCCGCTTTCTACCGCTCAACGAGACCGGGTCGGAAGAAGTGTCAGAGGATAACCTCGAGGATCCGGCTCGGGATGCGTGGATCAGTGAGAGGAGGGAAGACTGGCGCTCCCACCAATCAGCTGTGATAGTCGTCTGATTATTGACGTCGCCGTGACAGACGAGGGTCGGGACGTTGGTGACCTTTGCCGCGTTCAGTTTCGCGAGGATGTCGCCTTCTCGATCCGTGATCTTGTACGATGCGCGCCACGCGTCCTTGAGCCATACAAAGCGGCGACTTGAGCATTCATAGGCGACATAACCACGCGTCCCGCGACCCATCGTCCCACTGGCATGGAAGGTAGGTTTGCCGACGAGGTAGTCGTGCTTCTGGCCACCATCCTGAACAACTAACCGATGACGTGGCCAGTCGCAGTCCAGTGACGTACGGAAGAGCGATCGCATGTATGCGAAGGTGAAAGGTTCACGGACACCCCCTTCACTCAGATCGCGTTCTGAGTGGTCGACGTCCTTCGCGTCAGGAAGTGCTGCGACATCCATACGCAAGAAGTCGACGTCATCAGGACGCAGTCGAGTAGCAGTGGGGTCAAAACCCAGAGAATCATCCCCCAGGCGGCATAAGTGGTATAGGTAGTCGCAGGCGATGGTCGGCTGTTCGAAGTAGTCGACGGAAGGGGTGGAGATGACACCAGCACGGTCCCAGCGCAGAATCCGGAATCGACGACCCATGACAAGGATCATGAAGAGGAAGACGCGATGTTGAGCAGTGAAGAGGAGCTCGACGGAGGACGAGAGTTCGTCGTAGATATCAGTTTGATAATCATTCATTGTCTCGCCCCCAGATCTCAATTGAGTCGGGTCAAAAGGATCGGCGCGGGGATGATGGCAGTAGAATGAGATGGGCACCACTTGGTCGAACCGGCACGGTCGATCACGTCGAGGCCCACGAAAAATAGCCGCATGTTGTAGTTTGGGACTATCATCGTTCGGATCGTCGCATCCGCGCATCATCGGCGAGATGCAGCAACCTGGCATAATCTCGCTTGTACTGACGGCCTGGATCTTTGCTGTCTGTTAGTTGACTCGGATGCAAGTGCAAGTTCGATGATAATGATGGCTTACGAAGAATTCAGATATAGCTTGTCCAGACAAATTTTCTGCGTTCGCGAGCGCAGAGAAAGGATTCGAGGCCGCATAATCGACGAGAGGCGCGTCTTCAGTGGCGAGTAGCTCACGCCGGAATTGATCGTGTTCCACATGCACAATTGTGCCGGCCATACTATGAGAGAGCAGATATACGTCAGTCTCCCAATACTGAGCCTCAGTAAATGTAGAGATAGGAGGACGGATAGAGGTTGTAGATGAGCGCACGGCGCACTGATGGGATACGGAGAAGGTAGCGGTTGGCGTTCAAGATGAACGAGTTGAATGAGCGCTGGCGCTTTCTGCTTCGGCTATGTAATATGCATCGCTTATCGACACACTAGCAAGCGCTTCGGAGCTCGTCATTTACAACTTGCAGAGCAACAAGACAGTCCCCGCAGTTCTCTCTCATTCATATCAGCCTGATCTTATTAAGACCATCCGGCTCCTACAGCCCAGACGACTCGCAAGAGGGGACCCAGAGCTCCTTCACGGCCAGTACAAAAGACAAGCACTTTGCTATGCGGGATCATGACGCAAAGGACTACGGACACAAGCACATGAAGACGGAAGACGAATAATACGCGTATAAGGACAAATCTGGGAATGCTGATGACGAAGAGGACAAGGAGGATCCGGGGATCTCCCAAGGGCAGGAAACGCGCCCGGGGCTGCGCAATCTGCCGGCTCCTCCCAAATAGGGAAACGCGGTGAGAGACTCTTACCCGAGACAATCATCGGTATATCCGCATTCTGTATGCACGTTCGGAGGCTCACCACACGTGCAGTGTTGTATCCGGCTCGGTCGTTCGCATCCAGTTAACGACTTCTTCATATACTTAGGTCGAGTTCCGATCGGGCGCGTGCCTCAACACAATCTTTGGGCCTAATAGCACTGGGAAAAGCTCCATCAGTCGTACTCTCTGTCTTGGTCTCGCCCGCTCGCCGTCGTCGGTGAGTGGTTTTGAAAGCAGCTGCAGCGGCGGTAATCACCCAGCATCTCAAGTCGCTCGCCAAAAATCGGCAAGCAGGACGGCGACTGTCAGATCAAGCTCAAAGGTACGAAGGGCAAGTCTGTTCACATCGTCCGCCGCGACCTCTCCTCCAACTCCAACAGCGCCCAGCTCATGTTCAACGGCCGGTCCTCGTCTGGCAAGTACACCAGTGCCAGCATGGTGGAGCTGGACAGATGCAGGCCAACAGCCTTTGGTATGTCCAGCGTGTAGTTTGCTGCAACCGTCACAATGTCTGACACATACGACGCGCAACAGCACTCGTTTGCCCCAGGACAGAGTGGCCAAGTTCAACTTTTTAAAACTTCAGCAGCCCTTGAAGGAAACGCACCTTGAAGACGCTGCCGGTTACTTACCGACGCCAACTGCATGGCACGATACGCTCATCGAGTTGGGAAAGAACTTGAAGAACATCCAAGGTATGGCTGCCCTGTCAGGCGCTGTATTTGCCATATCTGATATGCGCCGTATCGTAGCTCGTTATCGCGCACTCGGAGCGCGCATTCCTCTATGTGACCGTGTCGAACCGCCAGTACATCGATGCAGTCGCTGCGTGCTTTGGCGAAACGCACCTCCACATGTTCCTCCTGCAGTGCGAGGGCTACCAAACGCTGGAAAGGCTGTGCGCCAATACCCCGGAGACGATCTTGCGGAAGGCAAGGATCGATGCGTTTAGGCGGAGAGAACTGAGCGCGCTCCAGCCGCAGCGGGTTCCGGCGGACTAGGGCTTTCCGTGCCTTGTGATCCAGGACCTTGTGATGCGCTTTGAACTACTTAGACATTGTAACGAGGATGTTGTCCATAGCGGAATGTACGGCCGTTGGAAATGAAGCACGCCGGAGCTTCGCAACGTGGCGGAGTCTCGCCCACACGTGTAGTCGCAATCAGAGCCGGCGTAATGGTTGAAGGATCCCTGAAAGAAGCTCGTAATACTCTTGTAGTCGGACCTGAGGTACCGCACTGAGTGGAGGAGGACATGGAGAAACGAGTCTGACTCATTGGATAGCTTGATAGGCTTGGATAAGTCCGAGAGGAGGCTAACCGATATGGACTGATACGTTGTCTTGTTGGCCACCATCAACCCCAGATCAGCGGATACACCAATAGGATATGGGCAAGAAGCACGTACCATGCGACTCGCTTGTGTAGTCCTGAACGCTGCTTCTTGTGTGTCGACCCAATCGCTGGGTACACCGGTCCACATCATCTACGAATTCGAGCCGGCCTGCTCTAATCTCAAATACTACAAGCGCCCCAGGGAGGATATGCGACTTGTCGCCCAGGATGATGTGCACCAGATGCAGCACGCTGAACATTGGAATGGCTTGTGCAATATAGTAAATGATGGAAAGCCGGTATAATTGAATGATACAGCAGCGACATATACAGCAGACGTGGAGAAGATAGAACAGGGGGATGAAGGATGACTGAAATAAGTTAGGACGAACAAGTCCTCTGACATGCGACATCGTCAAATGAAGACGGCGATACGCGCCGCGAACGCGACACAGAGGCGACGATTTCACCAGTATGCCAATATATCAGGGCATAGCCACAAACCCGGAACTAGGGTGAAATAGGATAGAGACCCAAGGTATCGCGATGATGGGAGTAGAGGATTGCGGAGAGGACAACTGGGAGCAGACGGTCGCCGTGGACAGACATTCTACGACCTACGCCTCGCCGGAAGGGTCCGCGGGGTGGCGCGAGCCCGCCTGGTGGTCTCGTGGAGACGGGCGGGAATGGAGACCACACACCCAGGACTCGCTAACCGCCTTCTCTTGTTACTCGTGCTCGTCGACGTCGGGACAGTGCGAGAAGGTGAGGTGGAAACCGGGAGCTCATCGGCCGAGGTAGCGGAAGGGGACGGAATCCGGTCGCCAATCCACCAGCGTGAGTCTAGGCGCATTTTAGCTAGGTATTCCAATAGGAACTTGTGACGCGTAATCCGCTTGGCCCGCTGAAATTCTTTTGTTGTAGGGACGTCGTCTAACGGGGTGTCTCCGTATATAGTGATGTCACCATGGGGATAACCGATGGAGACAAGCGGGAATGGCGGGACCAGGTCGTCGTCGTCCTCTTCGGAGTCGTTATCGGGGGCACCGGACGTCGGGAGTGTTGGAGGAGGAGAAGGAGGCGCCGCCTTACGTGCCTCATAGTTCAAGACCTTGTAATGGGCGTGAAAGCATTTCAGCATGGTGGCGAGGATGTCGTCCATGGGGCTGAAGAAAACCAGCGGACCATATGGTTGCTGGTTGCGGAGGACACCAGTGTGTTCTAGGGTGATAGACTTCTGTCCACACGTGAACTCGCCCGAGCTAGAGTATCTCTCGAAGTAGTTCTGGATAAAGCCGGAAGTGCTCTCGCAATTCGATCTGAGGTAACGAACGGAGTGGTGCAGGAGCACATGAAAGAACGATTCCAGCTCGTCGGATATCTCCACCGGTTTCGTGAGATGTTTGAGCAGGTTGACGGACATGAACTGATACGTTCCCTGGGTTTCCGACGTCAGTGATTGCTCTCTGAGAGCCTGGAGGCAAAGTCGACGAACCATCCGTCCCATCTGGGTGGCTCTTGATGATGCTTCCTGTGCATCGATAGGCTTGGACAGCTCCCAGTCCGTGAGCATGCCTGTCCACATCATCCAAGGGTTAGCACGCCCTTCGAGACGCACGACCCTTGGGTAGATTAGGATGTTGCCGGTGCTGATGTCACGGTGGAGAATACGCGTCTTCTGCCTGGTGGCTGCCTGGTGATGAGCTTTTATGGAATGGTAAGGACCCAATTGCAGCGCAGTGTTACTATATAGACTCACCCTTCATACAGTCCAATACGACCGTGACTAGCTGCTGGCCATACTGGAAGTTCTTCAGCGGCATGCAAACCTCTACAACTGCGATTCTGTAGTGTCTATGCTGCCTCAGAGGTCCATCCGTATGAGCCGTTCGCTTCGGGATGACTTCGCCGTGCTCTGAGACTGGAGGCGACTCGTCGACCCTCTTCCTCTTTTTGCTGCTCGAAGTCTGAGAGCCAATCAGAGTGGGAGAGGGCGGGGATAGCGACGACGAAGGAGATGGGGAAAGGGCAGGCGAGAGTGCGTACTTGCGCTCCCACCAATCGGCAGTGATTGTGACCTGGTCGTCGATGTCGCCGTGACATAGAAGAGTGGGGACGTTCTTGACCCTTGCGTCATTGAGCCTCGCCAGCACGTCACCTTCCCTTTCCGCGATACGGTGAGAAGCACGCCATGCGTCCTTCAACCACACGAAGCGATTTGTTTTGCGATCAAGGGCGACGTAGCCCCGTGTGCCTCGACCAAAAAGTTCGGTATCGCAAAAGGTGGGCTTGCCTACGAGATACTCGCGTGCTTGGTCACCGTCAGGGACACAGAGTTTGAACCGCGGCCAGTCGGACGAGAGCGAGGCACGAAATAACGATCGCACGTACGCGAAGGTGAAGGAGTTTCCTGGATCGCCATCCTTCAACTCGCGCTCCGAGTGATCTATGTCGCTGGTATCTGCAAGGGCGGCGACGTCCATACGCAGGGAATCGATGTCGTGGGGGAAGATTCGAGTGGCACTGGCGTCGAAACCAAGGGCTGTGTCACTGAGCTGAGAAAACCGCGAGATGATTTCGCAGAAGGCTGCAGGCTGCTCGTAGTAGTCCACAGACGGAGTTACGACTGTACCGGCTCGATCCCAACGAATGATTCGATATTTGCGGCCGGTGATGAGGATCATGAAGAGGAAGACGCGTTGCTGGACGACGAAGAGGTCTTCGGCAATTGTTGAAATGTGGTCATATAGTCGCGACCTAGCTCGCTTCGTTTGCGCGTCACAGCGTTCGCCATCGCCGGCGTTGAAGGGATCGATCCCGGCATGGTGGATCTCGACTGAAACGAGCTGATCGGCGAACAACTGCGAACCCTCTTGTGGTTCACGAAACAAACCCATAGTACGATTTTGCCCAGTAGGCTCGTCGCGGAAGCCAAGTCTTCGCTCAGCAGGAGCAAGGAAGCAGCTATGGCAGATGCGACAATCGCGTGCCGCTTCGATCTAAGGTGTACGTCAGCTGAGATGATGAGAAAGGGTGCGAAAGGGCTCACCAGACGCTCCGAGATCTCACGTTCTGACATGTTGTCAGCATCTTGTAGATGATGGAAAGGGTTCGATGCAAGAGCCCTAGTACAATCTGCTCCGCCTGCAACAGGAAGGAGTTCATCGCAGAACTCGACATGACTCAGTTGAACAGTCGATGACGCCATGCTTAGACGAGCGAGTGGCGGCAGCAGCTTGACGAAGTGAGGTGCGCAAGTGGTTGGGACAGAGATAGATGAGTCAAGGTTGGCGCTCAACAGATATAAGAGTTGATCAGGGGATGGCAAAGAGACACAAGACAATGAGACAGTCGACAATGGTGGTTGATGCCCAAGTTCAACAAACGCCGGCCGTTTCTCTAGCACACTACCAAATTCGGCGGATAATTACATAAGCGCCGTATCAAATCAGTCAAGCGCTTTCACGCATCGCTTGACCTTCCGCGCCGAATATCTATATCTAGACGTTGCACTTGTGCACATCCTATACCCCACACGGAAAGATAAGCTGTCTGATATACTGCATTCCGAAAGCTTGCTGATTTCGAGACGTTTTCACTACACTTGAGCTATGACTGGCTCGTCTCTTGGTCCATAACACTGACGACATTTATTTTGCGTGCACTACATAACAGGCATATAAGAAACATAAGGCGAAGTAGAACATAAATCGAGCGTAAGGAGTAAAGACGAATGGAGTAGCAGCGACTCGGGGACTAGGTGAACCTTTAACGCGCCTTGGATTTCTTGCGTGGACGCGTCTTCTCGGCCTTAGAATAGTCACCAGGGTAAGGCCGCTTTATCTCTGACTTCTTCGATTCCGGTGCCGCTTGCTGTGGTGCAAGGGTCGGCTTGGAAGAAATGGCTCTGATGTCGGGCATGATTGGATAAGGGGATCTGTAATTCTTGTCAACTCGATCAGGCGCCTTGTCACCAGCGAGTTTCCACTCCTCCCGCGCAGCCCAAACATGGTGGAAGAGCGCAATCATAGCGTCGTGATCCACTAGTAGCTTTGCAAGGGCAACGTCCTCAGACGTAGGAGGGTCCTTCTCCTTGAGAAGAACTTCAGCTGTGTATCGGTTGGGGTTCGGAGCTTGGGGGAACTCGTCGTCAGAGTAGAGTCCGTCGTCGTCTATCTCGCCTTCATACTTTTCAGCGTCGGCCTCAATCTCGGGGACGTTTTTGTCCAATGTGAATGGTGGAGGTGTTCGGGCAGTGTGATCCGAAGTCATTGGTGACGGAAGTGGGAGCTGAACAGGCAGGCGAGCGCGCCACGTCTCGTAGTCCAGTACCGCATAGTGAGCCTTGAACCATCTAAGCACCGTAGCAATCAACTTGTCCATAGGGCTTCCAAAAAGCACGCGAGTCAAACCGTAGCCCTTGGAGAAGACGAGCTCGCCTTTGTCGCGAATGATCATAGACTTCTTCTCCCCGCACGAAATCTTGCCGTTGAGGAGGGAAAAGCAATCGAAGTACTCGTCGATGAAGCTTGCCACCTGCCCATCTGTCAAGGTGGAGTGAAGATAGCGGATGGAGTAGTATATGAGGACATGAAGCAGGGATTCGAGCTCATCTTGAAGACGGTGGCGGCTCAAAGCATTAGACAGCAAGTTCACTGACACAAACTGCCAAGTACACTAAGTTTTCCGAGTTAGACTGGGGACCACCTTTCCTGATAGTATCGAGGGCACTTACTGTTCGCTCTGGCTGACGCGGCCTTGGGCGCTCCTCTCCCGTTGCCACGCACTTGGCGACTTCCCAATCGCTGAGTATTCCCACCCAACGGAGTCTCCTTGTGTTGTCCTTCTTTGTGATAATCTTCGGGTATATCAGGATGTTACCACCGGTAATGTCGCGATGAAAGATCTGGACACCGGGAAGCGTGGACGCCAGCTTATGTGCTACATGGCAATGTTAGCCTTAGAGTTACTATAGAACATGGGTGGGACACGCACTGCGGAGGCAATCAAGGATAATGCTCACGAGCTGCCGGCCATTCTTGAAGTTCTCTAGAGACATGCACACTTCCTCCTCAACCACCCGATAGTGCTGGTGTTCACGGATAGGACAATCAGGGCGAAAGGACAGATTGGCAGTCTGTGATTGGTCTGGGACACCAGGTGGTGATTGAGGGACCAAAGCGCTTTTCGTGGTTGAACCGCCCTTGGGCTTCATCCGGGCCACTCGAGAGCTGGAGTACGAGGAGCTGTGAGAGGATACGGCTGCGGTGCCTGCCGCGGGATTCTTGCGCAACCACCAGGCGGCGGTGATGGTTACTTGGTTGCGGACATCTCCATGACAGGCGACGGTCGGGACATTGGTGATATCAGCGGCACGGAGTTGTTGCAGAATAAGGCCTTCCGGGTTGACGTTCTCGTAGGATACGCGCCACGAGTCCTTCAGCCAGAAGAAGCGCTTTGTTGCAAGCTCATGCGCGATGTAGCCACGAGTGCCACGACCTGCCATTCCGCTTGCGGTATAGACGGGTCTACCAACGAGGAAGTAACGTGTGACTCCTGCGTCCACCACCTGGAGCTCGAAGCGAGGATAGTCCTCACTAGCGATGGTTGCAGCGAATGCTTCTCGAACGTATCTGAAGGAATGGTACCCTTCTAACTCGCCGGGAGAAAGGTTGCGTTCAAGGTGTATGGCTTCATTCTCTTGTCGAATGAGAGCAGCCAAATCCATGCGGATGTATCGGAAGTCGAGCTTATCCAGACGGACAGCAGTGGGGTCGACACCAAGACGCTCATCCGATAGATGGGAGATGCGCCATAGGAACTCGCAGAGAGCATCGGGGTGTTCGTAGTAGTCGATAGCGGTGGTGAGGACTGTACCAGCCCTATCCCAGCGCGTGATTCGAAACTTCCGTCCAATGACGAGGAGCATGAAGAGAGCATGGCGGTGTTGTATGGAAAAAATGCGTTCAGCGTAACCAGTGATTTGCTCACGCGACTCCTTGCGGGTGTCCGCCTCTGCGTCAGCACTCCCGCTCTGTTCGGTATCCAAGTAAGGATCCTTGGCACTTCCTTCCTTACTGGACTTGAACTCCACTGGGACGAGCTGTATATCCCAATGGGGACAGCCGTCGGTAGGTGCTTCGTGCGCGTGGAAGAATGCGCCATCGATCTTCTGGCCAGTTTCGTCGATCTCATCGGAGTCGGCTTTGTGCTGAGAGATAGCGAGCACAAGGCGTGGACAAAGATCATGCTCTCTAACGGCATCAAGCTTTCGATTTGGTCAGTATGGAGACTAGTATAGGTAGCTGTGGCTCACCATGAGTTCAACCACCTTTGCCTCGATGAGTTCATTTGCACCTTTCAGCTTCTTGAACGGGTTATCAGTTCTTGTTGGTCGCGTCGGGAACATATCCGAGGAGGAACATGGCAGAAGCTCATCGAGAAACATAGTGAAAGAGTTGGCGAGGACGGATCGACCTTCCATGTCCTGCGCAGACTTGGCCCGGTATTGCAAGAGGTCGACGTTGCCGACCGAGTTCGTGGCCGCACTCTCAACCTTGCGCATGGAGCGAGGAGTCTCCTCGAGCTCGATGTTGGCGCTGGGAGCCATGATGGTTGACTATGAGTGAGGCGAGCACTTCTGAACCACCCTGGGCGGCTTTTTATAGGTTCTCTGACCGATCAATGCATAATAGGGAAAGTGACTCGGGATTCGCTTAGGGTTGGCTCGATCACATGCAGATAGGGAGAACAATGGAAAGGACTACAGGCCAGTGAGCGTCCCGATGACGCCGATAAGCGTACGCGGCTTGCCTCTTGCAGTGACATAAGACGAAAATAGTATGAGCGCGAGCTCAGTCCATGGCAGGCATTCCGGTGATTTCTACCAGAGAGATTTCGATAAAATCGAGAGGGAGGAGACAACCGCAAATCCATTTTCCCCGTTCTCCGATGACTTTTGTGCGGAAGAGCCACGTTATCATGAATAGGTTACGTCGTGCCTCTCCTTTTCATCAAATCTTTTCAGGTCGAAAATATCGGAATGCCTGCCGTGATTGCAAGAAAACAGATATGCCATCATTCTAAGGAGGGGCCGTACGGCATGAAGTGGACGACCACTTCTCTAGGGACCACGAAGAAGCGTGAAAAATTGGGGACATGTCAGACCACCCTGTTCAGAAAACAAGAGGGCGTGCTTTCCCCACCGTGAATCTTTGCTTTCAGAAATCAAGTTTTCTCATGCTCTGCGCTGCAACTCCGTGTCGTTGCGTCTTGTATTCTCATCTCTATAGATGTTCACTCACGACTAATGGCGGACCAGCAGGAGCCCGCACTTGTACGCGGTAGATTAGATGAGACCAGACAGGCAAGGTATGCGCGCAATGGCAGGCGTAAAATGTGATGACAGCATTATAAGAGGAACTCATTCAAGAGTTAGGTCAACGGAAATGTTTTGGATTGACGTGGCTGACCATTAGGTTCGGGTGTCTGTATCACTCAATCCCGGGTACTGATGCCATGGCTGGCTCGTCTATAGTGGTACATGTACACGTCTGTTACTTAGATGGCAAAGACAGCAATACAGGAATCTTTCTGATATCCGTTTCAGAAAGGCATACATCAGGTAGCCTCGATCCTGAAAGTATTCAACTACGGGAAATTGGTGCCCTCGCTTGGATGAAGAGGAGAACGATGTCTTGGGAACGTGGACTGAGCACGCAACTTTTTGAATTCAGACTATTGTGATCCCAGCTTATCTCCTCCGCTGATTAAGTATACGCCCTTGAAGATGAGTATAGATCACTGTTCCGCCACTACGAGGTCATGGAACGTTCAGACTGTAGCACCGTGTTCTAAACTACCGGTGCTATCTAAGACAACTGCGACAAGCCGGCGCTCATACTGAAGTTCCCTGAGCGATGCGGTAGCGTCTGTGTTTTCGGACTATCCCGTCCGGAGGAAATATTGGGGGAAATTCTTGTTTGGCGTCCCTCGATGCAGTGCCAGTGTCCGCATGTTCTGCCAGGGCCCTCTTCCCGCTTCTTGCTGTTCGGCGATGAAAGACGGACTTGCGTGGCCCGATGAGGATCAGAAGATGGAGGGAGATGGTGAGGACGTGACGGATTGCCCTCCCACCAGTCGGCGGTGACTGTCAACCATGTCGCCGTCACAGACGGGCTCACGCGCATGTAGCACGCCGGCAGCACTAAGCTTCCGTGAACCCTGACCTCCAGTCTCGGGAGCACGTACGACGTTCTTGAGCTACACGAAACGACCTGTCTAGCAATCTCAGACGACGTAGCCACGCGTACCACGCGCCAAGAATTCGGGCGCACGAAAGGCAGGTACTTCCACGAGGTAAGTGCGTGACATCTTCCCATGGCACATTTTGAGCGTGTAGCACCGGCAGAGAGGTCCTGAACAAAGAGCAAGCATGATCGAAGACCGTGTGGGGATCGATACGCTCGGACTCCTCAGACCAAGGTTCCGGTCACTTAGGTCGTTGTCAATCTTCAGATTGGCAAACTCCATTCGCGTGAAGTCAATGTCCCCAAGACAGACACGAGTGGCGCTGGGATCGAAGCCGAGCGGGCTCTCATAGAGCTGTCAGATACGCCAGAGAATGTCGCACAGCACATGAAGGTGGTCATAGTGGTCGACCGTAGGAGTAGTCACCAATCCAGCACGATCCCAGCGCAGGAGCCAGAACCTGCGATCGACGTAGAATAGGACCAAGAGGAAGAAGCGCTATTGAGCAACGAAGACGGCGAGGTTCTCTGCAACGGAGGAGATCCAGTCATATACCCGCTTGCGAGAACTCGCTAGCATTCCGAGTTAGTCTTGAGGCTCAGCGTCATCGAACGGGTCGAGGCCAGGGTGGTTAGTCCGCACGTGTACAGGTACACTCTGGTTTGCGCAATGCGGATATTCTCCTGTGGGCACTGTAGAGGTGAGGAAACGTGCGGTAGACAAGTGGGTCCCTTTTCCATACTCGCGGTCAGAAGAGGGGTGATATTTTAAAGCCGTGAATCCGGAAACGAGGTCGTTGCCGTTGAATGCAATCGCCTGAAGAGCCGATGAGCTTTAGCTCAGACATCGAGTACGAGAGGACAAGCTTACGATCAGCTTTGAGATGTCGTTCTAACTACCCTGTGAGCAGTGCGCAACACATCATATGGGTTTGAGTCTGCAGTACTGAGGGTGCAGAACAGGAGATCTCGTCACGGAGGGGCAGCAAAAGATGCGGTGCGAAGAGAGCATTCGAGTCGCTTACCATTCCAGGACAGGTAGTGTGCACTTGGTTGAGCCAACACTTGATTCGCTCCTGCTCCTGATCTGGCCTCGGGAGGAAATGATAAGTACAATGGAGTCTTCGTGTAATTGCGTGCGCACATTTTAGAATCAAGCTTGTTCCAGAAGACAGGGATGCGAGTGGGAAATAGGGATACAAGGTGTCGATCATCAGAATCGGCATAACAGACGACAAGGGGCCTACAAGAGTCTCAACCGAGTCATTTGCAGGCTGTCGGTAGCACTCTCCGCCGTCCGAGGCAATCCGAGTGAAACAGACCCAGGACGTACCTGTGTACCGCTCATGAACATCTGGTCTACGTTCGCGGCACGCCGTCTAAAAGCCACGCGCAGCGAGATCGGAGAGCGCAAGTCGGGTGCCGTTCAACGAAGGGGCCGCTGATCCTTGCCCGTCAGTGACCTTCTAACGCTGCCAGTCGTGAGTCCTGAACAAGGAGCGGACATACTCGAATACCTCTGAAAGTCGACGTTTCGCATGACTGTGTAAGTCCTGAGGCCGCAAAATGCACGCGCGTGAAGTCGATGTCACCATAGATGACTGGCCGGAAACACGATCGATCCGGGAATACTGTCACGCGGAGACGAGCTACACACGACGGAGCTAAACAACATGCATCTCTCGCATCTAGCGCGCATATATGGACTCGAGGCAGTTGAGAACCCACCTCGACACTCGCACTCATATAAAAACTTGTACTCATCCTACCGTACTCCAGTTTCCAGCAATATCTCCGACAGGGTTCAGACTGTTCGTATTCGGCGAGCGCTCATCGAATTTAACGCATGACGAGTTCGACAATTGTACAGCACTGGGCACGTACCGACCCCCACGTTCTGCGAAGCCACTTTCTGAGTGGCTGCAGACGGATAGCTAGCTAAGTATCTTACAATGACAAACGCCGTCGACTTCCGCAAAGTCCTCGACGTGCCACGCTATAAGTCACAAGCGCCGGGAGCGCGAGACCGGCGTCATTAGCCGCACGTGGCCACTCGACCCTCGCAGTATGAGCCCCGCGAGTCCGAGATCGCTCCTGCCGCCACGGATCCCAACGAACGGGCGTGTGGGCCGTACTATAACACGCTGCAAGCATGCGTAAAGCTTGAGCTGGGGGACGATCTGGACTGATGGCACCGGGAGAAGCACATCCCATTTGGGTCAAGGTGCGGTGTGCTGAAGAACGGAAGCCGACCTGCTTATCTGACATAGCATGAATGGCCGAAGTTACGACGCGCCGCCGGAGATAGCATGAGACCGGCGACTGTTCAAGGCGATGAGGATGTGGGTTCACGGACACAAAGCCTCAGAACACCCACATTGTAGCAACGACCTCAAGAGGTGTAAAATGAGGGGGAGAGGAGAGTGGACTCAACTCGATCTTGGTCCGATTGACCCAGTTTGCACGGCGAGGATACTATCGCTGGGGTATGGTATGAGAGCCTTGGCCCATGGAACATGCAACGGCATCGTTTGAGTACCAACCGTCCTTCCAGGATGAAGGGTTTTGGCCGGAAATGTAGAGAGAACAATTTCATACTACTGATCTTTACATCAGTGGCCGTATCCAAGCGAAGCTAGCTTGCCGACAGCGTACCAAGGAAGAACGAACTCACCAGTGTGGTATCCCCACGAAACGAGACCTCAGTCTTATATCCTAGCCTGCGATGAAACCTCATGAACATCGCTCCTACAGCCTCCAGGCTCGCCATCTCGCTGGGTACCGCTGTCGGAGGCTATCCAAGATGGGTAGAACGGAGAGGATCGGAAAGTGACGAAGACACATTAGCGAACCTGGAGTCCGGCACCGTGACCTGTGCGTCGTTTTCATGAGCTAGTATAAGCAGGAGTGTAATGAGCACGTCGAGCGGCCGAGCCGTCTGCAGTCTGAAATGAGACGTCGAGATGGAGGGAGACAAGCAAGTGCGCGTGGGAACAACAAGCGCCTTACGCATACGCGCCTTCTTCGACTGGCCATGAGTTTTGTCACGATGTCGGCCCCCGAGCCCTGATGTCGCCGTGTTGCCTCACGATCTGAGCTTGCCCGCCATCATCCTCGACCAGCTCTGCATTACTGCGCTTGTATTTCGTTCACTCTTTGTGTCATCGCTGTACTCTTGTGAAACTCTCCGTCAGCACTGTGGCTGGGGACTCTTACTTCTACCATTATCGGCGTTTCGCCTTCAGCGCGATTCGGCAGATATTGATGAGCATCACTCTTCTGTTGCGTGAGCTTGAGAATTACATAAGAGAGACATGATGGAATGGGTTCAGACAGTACGATCTTTAGCGGTTGAATCTCACCTCAGTGGAAATCTGGCCGGACGAAACAAAGATAATGACTATTGATATACACCGCATAAATAAGCTACAGATACTAACAGGCTTCACACAATCCAAATTGCAGTCGCTGCTCATCTGTGCCTATATACGCGTCAGCGCAACAGCCTTGCGAACACATGGAAGACAGAGACGCTACCTTGCGCATTCACGACCGTGCAGACCGCGAGAACAGACACCTCACGGGGTCGGCGCGAAGAGCGCGACGGTCGCACAAGTGGACGAACAGACACCCAGTGCAGCGTTACAGGCGAGAATGGCGGCCGGCACCCCCGCGCCGGCGGTTACAGTGCCAAAAGTGAAGCCCGCGCCCGCGTAGCAAGCAACGGTGACGGTGTTGCATCCTATAGCGTTGATGTGAGCGTGAGCTATACGCTGCGCAGGGTCGATAGCGTACCTGTCTGGCAAAGGCCGTAGGCGATAGGGCCAGCAGTGACCGTCGGGAAGACGGCGAGGAGGCTAGTGGCAGCGATGGCGAGGGTAGAGAGGTGAAAGCGCATGATGGATGTACAAGTGAGTCGAGGTGGCTGGTTGGGGAGATGGGTGGCCGAAAGGGATGCAGTCTTAAACGGAGCACTGGAATCCAGCACGAACATGGTCATATTCAATGAGAAGCTACCGCAGCACAAGGGGCGAGGTTAAAGCATTGCAGTACGCAGTCTACAAGACGCCGATCGCACCGGGAAAGATGCCCCTTCTTCCTGGCCTGGACCAATTGCACCGCGAACGTTCGAATGGACAGTCACGCTGAGGGCACGTACAACCTTACCTCTGCCACTTGCCATCTTCTATCACACGCATCAGGCATGCCACACGGCCTTGAGACACACGAGGCGATCGGTCGGCAGCCCTCGCACGCTGCGCAGCAAGACCCAGGGCGCTTAGAGCAGAAACTGGATACCATTCAACGACGAAGTTGCCGATCTATACTCGTCAGTGACAATGAACGATCTTCTAGCGCCATGGCTACCAGTCGCTGGTCCTGAGAAAGGAGCGGACATACTCGAATACCTTTGGAAGCGAGCGTTCTCGCCGCTCTGTCGACCGTGAGGATGGCGAAATAAATGCGCGTGAGCCCAGAGGAGGAAGGGGGTCCACCTTAGATGCGGGACCGCTGTGACACGGAGACGAGTCATACGCACGACGAAGTCAGACAGCAAGCCTACCTCGCTCCCAGCACATATATCCACTGCAGGCAGCCGAGCAAACGCATAAAGCCCCGTCTTGTGCTCGCGCCGCGTGCCGCAGAAATCGACGGCGTACGTTGCGACTGGCTCGACCCGCACGCCGTCCACGGCCATTCAGCTGGTAGTTCGGGAAAACGCAAGGATTGCCGTATGGAACAGTACGGGGCTCAGTGTCGTACCAGTCGTTGAACTCGTCGTCCGTCAGATCCGCTCCGCGCTCGCCAGATTGCGAAGAGACTGAGCCCTGTCAGAAATACATAGCTGGGGTGCCGTTGGACGAGGTCGATTGTCGAAGTGAGCTTCGACACTCGCACGTAGGACCCTTCGAGTCCAACATCGTCCCGGCCGTCGTGGACTGCAACGAATAGGAGTGAGGGCGATACTGCGTCGTGCTGCAGGAGAACGTCAAGCCTGGACTGGAGGACGATCTGCACCGATGGTAACCGGATGGGAGGTGCAGATCCCACTTGGGTCAAGGTGCGGGGTGCGCAATTATGGAACTCTACCAACTTACCTGACGATGCATGAATGGCCAGCAATACCGTACGCCGTGGCGGATGAGGCTACTTGGGAGAGGGGACGTGTGATCGGCGACTGACCAGGGCGACGAGGACGTGGATTCAGAGACAGAGACGAGGCATTGAAATGCCTACGATGATGTAGCAACAGCCACGAGAGGTGTTCGCGGAGACGGTGGACTCACCTTGATCTCGATCGGCTCGACTTAGTCCGTACGGAGAGGATAAGCCGTGGAACATGCAACGACGTCAATCAAGTGCACTCCTTTCCAGTATAGAGCATTACAGACAATCGCATGGGAGCAAGGGGTGCTGGCTGACAGCGTACGGAGGATGCGTAGACTCACCAGTGTGATACCCCCACGGTACGAGAACAGATTCCTGGGTCTCGTTTCCCTCAAGAGGACCTCGCATCCAACACCCCTGTACCTACCATGTGAACAAAGCCACTCGTCGCTAAATAACACTGTCGAAGCCTAGTTGGGTGGGGTAGAGCAGAGACTGCCAGAGAGGGAGGGAGGGTCGGCAAGCAACGAGGACATGTTAACCACGTTGAGCAGTCGAAGTGGCGGTCGTCTGTAGTTTGCAGGGAGATGTCGAGATGGAGGGAGCCAAGTGCAAGACGTGGGACACAAGCGCGCCAATGTTGCATCATGATCTGACTCCGAGTTTGCCCATGGGCCACGACATCGATCATCCTCGGCCAGCTCTATGACTACACTTGCAGCTTGTCCGCTCTCTGGGTCATCGCTCCTATCATATTGTGACTTTGGTGGTACAGCCTGGTTTGCGTATTCGCCTCATCACTTACTGGCAGAAACCTCGAGCTTTGTCACCGCGTCCTCGAAGTTCGTGACTAGGTCAGTTCATATCAAGACATCAAGTGACGTCTCTCATTCCCAGCAGCCTTCAGATTGATTCGCCTATTGGACAGCCCCACTGCTACATACGAGCTCGTATACATCAAGCAGTCTAAGTGGACGTCCATGGACATAGGGACAGTGCATCCAACAGGGTGCACAAGGTGCGCAAATTTTATATGAAGGCAGGAAGACCCGAACAGAAACGCATTAAGCGTCCTTGTCCAACGATGCCTGTGAGGCCGACTCCCCGACGGACTGCCTGAGATAGTCGAAGTGGAACGGCCGGTCGATAAGAATAGAGGTGCCGCGATCGCGAGCAGGCGAGATTCAGTGGGACTCCTGGACCAATGGAGCACGGAACTGAAGCTTGTGACTCGCGACGGCCGAGGGGAAGGCGACAGGTAGATCGCGAAGACGAGGCTGTCCACCTCGCTCGAAACTCGGCTAAGACCTCCGAGTCATGACTTTGATCTGGTCCTGGGTAGAGCGGCACGAGCCTGGCTGCGTGTCCGCCGCGTCGACGCGTGAAGGCGGGTAGGGAGAGTAGCGTTCCGGGCTGGGGGGCTAGTCCTCTGCCGCTTCCTTGGGGGCATACACGGAACATCCCCTCCCAGTGCCGGAGCGTTCGCCCCGGGCGCAGCAGGAGGGCTCTCAAGGGATGGCAACCGATCGTCTTCAGGCCAGTCGGCATCACGTAGGACTCGCTCGAACAAACCGAGCACGAAGACGTGGTCCGCGAGCTCGCTAGCCAGCCGGCGTTCCTCCGCAGATGGCGTATTGTCCGGAGGCGTCCAATTGGCGAGTTCCGCAGCTATCTCAGCCTGAATCCTCGCGTCTTCCTCGTCAAGTACCCTGGGTGGTCGCATATATATTGGGTAGGGAGAGGGAAGGCTCTCAGGAGGTTCGGATATGGCGGGGGAGACTGGTGGCAAAGCCGCCTTCGAGAAATCGTAATTCAACACCTCGTATCGAGCCTTGAACCGGGTGAGCATTTCCGTGAAGATGATGTCGAGGGGACTATCGAAAAGGAGAGGCATTTCCGGGTGAAGCGTTTCCAACTCTCCGGTGACTTCGATTGCAATCGACTTCTTTCCGCACGTGTACATACGGTTGGGGCCAGAGTAATTGTTGAAGTATTGGTCGATCCACGACCATGGGTCGTCACAGGAAGAGCGGAGATGGCGTACTGCGTGATAGAGCAGCACGTGAAAGAACGACTCGAGCTCTTCTGGGACACTACTATACTGCGAGGGTCGCAGCAACAGGTTCACGGACATGAACTGGTACGTTCCCTAAAGCCATCATCAGTCTACAGTCTAAATACCAGTGTAACATCCGAATACTTACCGTACGACTCGCTTGAGCGGCCTTTGATATCTCATGGAGGCCCTCTATGGGCTTCGACATCTCCCAGTCACTTAGAACACCGGGCCATGCGATCCAATGAGCCTTTCCTTGAGGTCCGCGCTTTATTTTCGGCAGTATGAGTAGGTTGCCGCTGCTGATGTCCCGGTGGAGCCGTCCAATCTTCGGATGCGTTGCGACTTGATAATGTGCTTCGATTGAACAAGTCAGTACGAGAGAAAGGTTGCGTATACGCATGATGACTCACTGCGAATACCATCCAACACGACCGATCCTAGCTGGTGGCCATTCACAAATCTCTTGAGTGGCAGACAGACCTCCTCGAAAGCAACACGATAGTGCATATGCCGTTGCAGAGGGCAGTTCGTGTGTGCGGGCGCGTGCGCGGTCGACGATCGCTTCCCTGCAGCGGTGGTCTCGTCCCCGTTCATATGGACCGCCGCTCTCTTTCGTTTTCGATTGGCAAGGGGCGCACTGGAAGCAGGTCCACGAGATGATGGGTGGGAAGACGTGGGAGAACCTACCGCAGGAGAGGACGAGCGAGAACGCTGCCGCTCCCACCAATCGGCCGTAGTGGTAACTTGATTCAAGATGTCCCCATGACATATGAGCGTTGGGACGTTGTCAATACCGGCTTCGTTGAGCTGATGGAGGATATCGCCCTCTGTGTCAGTGAACAGGAGGGAGGCCCGCCAAGTGTCCTTGAGCCACACGAAGCGATTGGTCGCACAATCGAGAGCAACATAGCCGCGCGTTCCGCGACCGAAGAACCCCTGAGAGACGAAGCTAGGCTTGCCGATAAGGACATGACGAACGCCCTTGCCGTCTGGAACCTCGAGTTTGTAGCGCGGCCAGTCGTCGGTGAGCGAGGCCTTGAATAGCGAACGCACATACTCGAAGACAGGGGTGCTGCCGGATCCGAAGTCCAAAAGCGAACCCCCTTTGTGATCGATATCGCCGGGATCAGGAACACTGTACATATCCATCTTCAAGTAGTCGACTTTGCCTGGAAGTATTCGAGTGGCACTAGGATCAAATCCGAGAGCGACATCGTCTAGATGAGAGAGTCGCCACAAGAGGTCACAGAGAACACCAAACTCCTGGTAGTAATCGATGGAAGGAGTGACGATTACCCCTCCGTGGTCCCATCGGATAAGGCGGAATTGCCGGCCGATGATGAGGAGCGTAAAGACGAAGGCGCGATATTGTGCAGCGAAGAGCAGGTGTACAGTTTCAGCGATGTCGTCGAATATCTGTCGACGGCGGCGCTCCGTTGAACCATACTCATCGTAGCAAGGCGTAGCGTCGAAAGGGTCTATCCCTGGTGAAGGGGTCTTGAATTCAATTGGGATACGCTGGTCGGCCCACCAAGGTTGTCGTCTGCTGCGCGTCGTATAATTGCCTCGGAATAAGGCAGCTTTGAGACCATCTTCATTCTTAGCGGAAGACGACGAACCCGGTTGAAAGAATGATATCGATGAGCCGGGAGTATGGGACGTGCCGGCGAGTGACTGGACCTGGAACTTTACAATCAGCTCCGCCACGGATAGTGGTGTCGACACTTACGAAGAGTGGAGAAATTTCGGTGGCTATCATATCTTCAGCGTCCTTAAGTTCCGCGAATGGATTGCAATTCGCACTCTTTAGACGGGTAGGGCGGCTGAAAGTCGGAAGGAACGCGTGTCGAAACTCGTCGATATCCACATGGACGGCGTGGTTCATCATCGTGGATGTGTTGGAAATCAAGTGGAGAGAGACAGGAGATGAAGCGAGAGCTCAGGGTGGCAAGACGTCGGCGATACTAGAGCGGCGATGGAGAGCTGCTTAACGGTGGTTACAAAGCAGAGAAAGAGCTCGCATGAGGTTCAATCTGAAAGCGCTCACGTGGCCGCTTGCCGATCTGGGTATGAAGAGGTGTTGTGGTCGAATGGTTAGGAAGTGGATGGTAGGTTACGATAAACGCTCGGAGCCCAATGCTAGCATTTATGAAAATCAGGAGAACAATGATACTGCCGCCCGGTCCGCGCAACTGGTCAATACGCAATACATCAATTTTCCTTATCCGGGGGTGCGTAGGCTGGCTGACGCACCAACTACAGATCTTCCGGATCATCTTAGAGGTGCGCGGTAGCTTGTGTCAAGCTGCGGGGTCGCAACGCTATGCAGGAGTTTAAGTAGACAGATGTACTTACTCAGGATGGCAGCGGAGCTGATGAGTGGAAAATCGTCTGTGACTGACCTTGCCTCTCTCGTACGCCGCTGCAATGCGCTCGGATAGAGTATGTTGGGCTTGTGAGCAGGATGTTCGGTCTTAATCGCGGACAGAGCACATTTTTGAAGGTCCAAGTGCAAAGCATGTGGATGCTTGTGGGATCAGGGTGGTATAAGAGGAAGGGGTCTTCGAGATCAAGATGTTACTATCCGGCGCCTGCGTTGCTACACCAAGTAAGTTGTCAATCGGAAGCCACTTATAACAAAAACGCGACTAAAGTACCACTCAGTAGAGCCTCCACGACCTCGCTGCCTAGCACAACGGTAAGTAGGTAGGCGCGATGTCAGTAGTCCCGACAGTAAGTTCTGTGCGGCTATTAGTGTCTCACAACGGCCCCAAAAAGCAGTGCCAGGAGCGTGGATTGAACACGCGACCTCCAGAACTTCAGTCTGTTGCTCTCCCAGCTGAGCTATCCCGGCATATAATGGAGATGCCACAGCATTAGTAGATCGATGCAAATTGATGACATCTCGGGGTATACTGTCTCCGGCCCCTGTGTTCATGTCCGATTGGTAGGTATGTACTATGTAGACGGACTCTGCTATGTAGATGCCTCAATGTCTGCTGTCATCACACTAGCACTTGCAGGTGTTCGACGGATGTCATTCGCGATTGGCGGTGCGATCCCTTGCTTGAGTTTTGGGCTAGTGTACCGTATAAATGGCATTCCAGTGGGCCATCCAAGCAGCGTACTCGGCTCGCGCCTACAGTACAACATCATTGCTACTTTCTTAGTCTGCCAGCCCCGCTAACATTTGAATATCTTCCTACGACCGTACTATAAACCGTCACATTGTGAGCCCTGTGAGTCTGCCCTCCTCGGCTAGCCATCACTTGCAAAGATGGCACCATTATCGCCATCGCGCTAATTGCTCCTCATACTTCGCGCGACGCTTTCGAGTATTGATCCGAGTCTACTATAGCAATAGGTCATAGTGACCGCATTATCGACAAGAGAAGTCGTCATTACCCGCCACGCTCCCGAGGAGCATTGCAGACACATCGCGGGACAGTCACAGCAGAAGATTGATCTGAGAATCTTGCTAATATATTCAGAATGAGCCAGTCTCATCACTCTACAAACTACAGCAAAGTACAATGGCGGTATGATACACTACTGCTATATAGACGGCGAATAAGTCAATTGCGATGATAGCCTCCCATCACATGTCCGATAAGCAAAGGTAGAGGGAGTGGGTTCCCGAAAGCGATACCGAATGGTGGCGACGCAGACGAAGGTACAGCAAGCGGTGATGGCGTACACGTATGGATTAGGAAAGAGATGCGTCGACGAAAGACGGAGAGCGGGCGGAAGGACGGAGGAGCAGGATGTGACGGTCGACGATTAATATATGTTGACGCGGAGGAATAGCATATGAAGTCCTCGGGAGCGATATCATTTTCGCGCACGGAGAGGGTGAGTACGGGCTTGAGGTCGCGCGCGCGAAGTCGATGGGTGCAGGCGAGCGGGTAATGACACGTTGCGCTCACATCCGGACATTCGCTGTCGCTTCGAGCTCCTCGGCGACGCATCTCCATTCGCGCTAGCATCGGCCGACGACGGCTTCCGGTCATGGGATGTGGGTATACGATCGTTGCCTCGCCACCTTGGATCCCGGAGCGCTCTCGCAAGGCGATCGAGCATGAACTTGTGATCCGCGACCTGCTTCGCGAGCTCCCGTTCCTTAGGAGTAGGTCCCTCGTCAACAAGACAAGCCTGAGATTGAGCTTCCCATTTTGCGACCTGCTCAGGGTCACTGCCAGTGTCGAATTTGTCATACTTGGCAATGTATATGAGCTCATCAAGAAGGGATAGTGGCTGCGGAGGAGTGTTGGGATGGGGAGGAGGGGGGAAAGCTTGGGCAGCTTCGTACTCCATGATCTTGTAATGAGCCCACAAGCTGTGCAGAATGTCAGAAAGAACGTCGTCCATGGGGCTGCGGAAAACCAATGCGCTCAGCGGGGATCGGATCCGAAGCCAACCAGCCACCTCCACCGTATACGACTTCTGGCCGCATGTGAGCATGCGCTCTGGACCTGCGTATCTGTGAAAGTAGTCTTCTATCCAGAAAGAGACGTCGGGGCAATTCGAGCGGAGGTAGCGCACGGCGTAGTAGACAAGGACGTGGAAGAACGACTCCAGCTCATCGGAGATCTCCACGGGCTTGGTGATGCGTGTAAGCAGATTCACTGACATGAACTGGTAGGTTCCCTGATTGCGCTTTGTCGTGAGTCGACTGATGCGTAACGAGCAGAGGAGCAACCCACCATACGGTCCGCCTGCGTAGCCTTCGACGCCACCTCACGGGAATCCGATGATCTCGACAACTCCCAGTCGGTCAGGACACCTGTCCAGACGACTGTGGGTATTTGCTTCTCCCGAACCCGTACGATTTTTGGGTATATCAGAATATTACCCCCGCTGATATCGCAGTGGAGAAGGCGAGTCTCCGCATTTGTAGCGGCTTCGTGGTGTGCTGCAAATATAATGATCAGAACAAATGAGAGCAAATTATATGTCAGAACTCACCACGCAGGCAGTCATACACAACAGCGACAAGCTGACGGCCATGTCGAAAGTTTTTGAGCGGCATGCACACCTCTTCCACCACAACGCGATAGTGTCTGTGTGGTCGGAGAATTCCGTCTGGAAGAGACTTTGCGCGAGCCTTGGCAGCGTTCGCAGCTTCAGCCCGGCGCCTCTTTCGCTTCTTCCCACCCGACGATGAAGAATGGACTGCCGTGGCCAAAGGTGGTTCCGATGATGACGAGGGACAGGATGGATGGGGAGGGTCAGAACGAGCCTGTATGCGCTCCCACCAGTCCGCAGTGATCGTAGCTTGATCGTGCACGTCGCCATCACAGACGAGAGTGGGCACATGAGACACCCCGGCAGCGTTGAGCTTCCAAAGGACCTCGCCTTCGGTCTTACTGAGCATGTACGACGCGCGCCACACGTCCTTGAGCCACACGAAACGACCCGTCTCGCATTCGTAGGCCACGTAGCCACGCGTGCCACGACCCAATAATTCGGAAGCACGAAAGGTAGGCTTCCCTACGAGGTATGCGCGAGATCTCTTCCCATCGCTCACCTGGAGCTTGTATCGCGGCCAGTCGTCGGAGAGCGAAGTCCTGAACAACGACCGAACGTATTCGAAAACGGGGTGGTCACGAACCTCAGACTCGTCAAGTCGACGTTCTGGGTCGCTCAGGTCGGTGTCCGTCTTAAGGCCAGCGAAGTCCATTCGCGTGAAGTCGATGTCACCAGGAAGGACACGAGTGGCGCTGGGATCGAAGCCAAGCCCGCTCTCGTCAAGCTTTCCGATGCGCCAGAGAACGTCGCACAGGACATGAGGGTTTTCGTAGTAGTCGTTAGCGGGCGTAGTGATCACCCCGGCACGATCCCAACGCAGGACGCGGAACCTGCGTCCGACGAAGAATAGCATGAAGAGGAAGACGCGTTGCTGGGCAGCGAAGAGGATCTCAGCGATGTCAGAGATACCGTCGAGGACCTCCGTCCGAGAACGCTCAAGTGCGCCATAGTCATCTTGAGGTGCGGCAGCATCGAAAGGATCGATGCCGTTGCGGTGGGCTTGCACGTGGATGGGTACACTCTGGTCGGCCCAGTGTGGGTGTTCTACTGTTGGCGAAGCACCGGTGCGGAAGAGTGCTGTGGACAGCTGTGTCCCATTTCCATACTCGCAGTCAGGAGAGGGATGATATCTTAGAGCCGTGGCACCGGAAACGAGGCCATTGTCGTTGACCGCTGCCACCTACTCTACGAATGAGTTGAGCCATGGAGAACGGGATAAGAAAACTCACGATCAGCTCTGAAATGTCGTTCTCGTTCATCTTGTTCACATTTCGTAAAGCATCGAATGGGTTTGATGTTGCTGTACTGCAGTCGGAGGAATCGCGTGGTTGCGGGAGGAACTCGCTGCAGAACTCCTCGGCGGAGAGAAGAACAGCGGAAGGGGCCATCGAGTACACCGAAGAGTGTGGCACTTGTGGCTAGGACGATATGCTCAAGACACAGAGAATATAGGTTGAGAGAGAGAGGATGATGGACGAAGGTACAAAGGGTAAGGAGACAATAGTCGAAAGTCAACTTGAACGTGCGCGTCTCTTCCCCTTTTGGTGGCGTTGGCTCGGCTAACTCCGACGGCTCAGACGCTGGCACTCCTCCGGGTGGTTCGAACAACATAGAGCTAGCGGGTATTACCGGGTTATCACCACATAGAAATACCATGAACAATTGGTAGCACTTTGCGTCAGTGCGAGCGGATGATGCTAACACCATCCACTATAATATTGTTCCATGGCAGTTGTGACGCCGGCTGGCCCGGAGTCAAAGGCCGCGTGCTGATCGTGAATTCGTCGAGAACTTGTATCATCATTCCATCAGTCTGAATTCCGTTACTATTCGGCACCATGAGTAATGTGGGCATACACAACATGTCACGATAGTAAGATACAAGAAGCTCGATGTTGTTTGACTACGGTACCATTCCCACTATGTGTGATCTGACTCGGAGACTATCTCGAAGCAGATACAAAGAACCAAGAAGCGTTCGTACGTAACTAGAAAACTATGCCACGTCGTTATCCAGTTGACCAGGAGACAAATCGACAGGTATAGGCGAATGAGGAGATGTCCAGTTCTTGGGTACACGGTCCTTGACCCTGTGTACCGTCGCCCATCCGGCCTGGTGCATATATTTCAGAAAGGTTTGACGCATCCAGCGGTGCTCCCAGACATTCTCAGCCTGATCCCTTTCTTCCTTGGTTGGCTTCTCGGGCTTTGAGCCTGCAGACCCTGCTGAAGAGTCAGATCGAGGACTAACTGGCGCTGACCGGGACTCTGCGCTGCCAGCATCGTCATCCAACATGCCGTGCTTTCCGAGCGTATAAACTAGAGGAACACCGTTGACGATCAGTACGGGCTCTTCTGTGTCCACTTCAGGTGGTGGGGACTCGGAATGGGCTGCATCTCGAGTATCATATTCCATGACCTTGTAATACGCAGCGAATGAGGTGAGGCATTCGTGCAGTAGCTTGTCTAGAGGAGTTCCGTTGAAGGTGATCTTCACGAGCCCCCTCCTCGGCACGTAATACGAGAGCTTCCCTTTGGTAATGATCGTGTCCTTGCGCTCACCACACGCAATGGTACCTTCATGTAGAATGAAGCAATCGTATATCTCGTCGAGAATGATTGCCACGGAACGGTCATGTTTGATGCTCGATTGGAGATAGCGGATGCAATAGTATATGAGTATGAGGAGGATCGACTCCAACTCGTCCGGGATTTCGGTTCCCGTGCAGTTGTTTATGAGGTTGACAGACCTGAACTGCCAGTTCCCCTGCGCGATCAGAAATTCAGTCAGGGTCTCCTGGAGTGACAAAGCGACTACGAGGCTTACCGATCGATGAGGTTGGCGTGCAGCATGAGCATCCGGAGAGTCAAGGTCAATGGGTTTTGACATCTCCCAATCTGTCAAAATCCCAGTCCAGTTGAGAGTGCGCCCACTGATGTTCTTTGCCCCAAATGGAAGGACCTTTGGCACGATGACGATGTTACTATCGCTGATATCCCGATGGAGGATGCGAAGGTCAGGGTGTGTAGCCACTGATTCATGCGCTGCAGGGCGTTCAAGGGATGTCAGGCCGCCTTTCATAGCATAATACATAGCGAGATGAAACTCACTGACGAGACAATCCAGGAGCAAACTCACGAGTTGAATTGCCGTCTGAAACTTCTTGAGTGGCATTCCCACCTCCTTAACTACTACGCGATAGTGTTGGTGCTGAAGGAGAGGGCAGTCATGTCGAAAGTCAGACACGCCTTGAGCAGGCCCGGGGTCCGCAGAGGGCTCGGACTCGTCGTCTCGTTTGCGCTTTACTCCGCGTGGCCTCGCAGATGGTGCAGCGTTCTTGGTTTCCCACCAATCTGCCGTAAGCGTCCTCTGGTGGAGGATGTCCCCATGACAGACTAGCGTCGGGACGTCGTCTATCCCAGAGACGGCGTTGATACGGGAAAGGATGACGCCTTCCTGCTCAACCTTCTCATACGCGACCCTCCAGGAATCCTTCAGCCAAACGAATCCACCGGTGTTGAGGTCTATGGCAGTGTATCCGCGAGTGCCACGCCCAACCGCGCCACTTGCGCAGAATGAAGGTTTCCCGACGAGGAAGTTACGCTGACCAGTGCCCTCGCCTACGCTCAACTTGTATCGTGGCCACCGCGGATCGACAATGGACTCTGCGAACATCTTCCGGACATAGTCAAAGACGAGTTGAGGTCCTTCTGATCCAGGGTCGGGTGGCTCAAGCTCGCCAGGCTGTAGGACGCGGGATGTGCTGCAGACGTCCGTCTTGAGTGGCAAAGCGTATTCATCCATTTTGCGCCACTCGGGATGGGAGGGTGAGAGACGAATTGCAGTAGGGTCAAAGCCGAGTGTGGTGTCAGATACATGGGAGATGCGCCACAGGAACTCGCATAGACCATTGGGATCCTCATAGTAGTCGACGGAAGGCGTGACTATGACCCCGGCCCTATCCCAGCGGAGGATGCGAAAACGTCGGCCAATGACAAGGAGCATGAAGACGGCGGTTCGATGTTGTATAGCTTGAACTAGCTCGGCGTAGGTAGTGATCTGCCCGAAGACGTCCTTGGCAGGAGTGTCCTGAGGTGCAGGCTGCTTTGCCGTCTGAGCCTCACCCTCCACCGTGTCATCGTCCTCGTCCTCGTCCGACTCGGAATCCTCGTCTTCTTCTTCATCCTCGTCTTCATCCTCCTCAAGCTCCTCAAGCTCTGGGACGTCTTCGTCGTCTTGCTCGTCGAAAGCCACTGCGTCCTGCGCTTGCCCCTGAGCATCGTGGTCCGCGTTGGATGCAAAAGGGTCCGCGGCGCTACCACGCTGGCCACTCTTAAACTCCACGGGAACAATCTGGTCAGCCCAATGAGGTCGTTGATCCTTCGGAACGAGACCAGCGCGATAGAATGCGGCGTCGACCTTCTGCCGCAGTGTGTCAACCTTCGGAGGCTCCGCCGGCTCCTCTCCCTTTCGTCGCCTCCTCTTCGGTGACTTGTCAGGCTTGTGCTGGCAGCGAGCCATGCCTAAGCCAGGGGCGAGATTGTGTTCCTTGACAGCAGCAGCCTGTTGGCTGCGTGAGACACCGAGATGAGAACGGTGAACAGGGACACTCACGAATAGCCTAACCACTTTGTCCTCAGACATCAAGTCGGCTTTCTCGAGAGTGCGGAACGGGTGGTTGGCGAGTTTAACCTTGGGTCGTTTGGGAGTCCTGAGTTTGCGTTTCTGAGGAACATCATAGGGAAGGAACTCGTCGAGAAACTCTTGGACGTCATCTGTTCCCGCAACGCGATCCGCTGTGTCAATAACGGACTGGGCACGATAGTGAGGAAGTGTCAGTTTTCCCGTGCATTTGACGAGACTTCGGACATTGCGTAGAATTGCAGGAGTATGCTTTACACCGCGGCGTCGACGACGGGACATGGTTGGTCGGATGAAAGAGGGGTCTGCCTAACGCAACCACGGTCCCTCGCGTTGAAGGAGAACGTTGGAATGTGGGATGTGACTTCGCGCAATCCATAATTGGCAAGCGAGGCTGCGATTAGTGTATTTGGGGAGAACAATGAAAGATCAGCCTAGTTAACCGATACGGCCAATGCACATCACAGCTTACCTCACTCAGCCGCGCGGCCTCAAAGTTGGAATGACTCGAGTTGTGCCCTTGTGAACAGCCTAGAGCGACCCGAAAGACATTCACGTTGCAATGATCAATCAACCACGAATGTACTAGAGCATGCGCTCACCCTGGAGGAGGATGGCCGGTGGAGTGGCCACAGGTGCGGCAGGTCTGTGATGAGACTGCTTGACTCAGCGTGCAGGCCCTCGGTAGTACGTCATCGAAATACTTTCGGATACAATAAAAGCATAACATAAACCACGTCCGCGATCATCATGGGGGAGAGATTGTCCCCGACTGAGAATCACGGATCACGCGAATCAGACGGGGGAAGTCCATCAGCTCACAAACCCAAAGAACTCGCCGCAGAATGTTTTCTGGGCGCATCCGTTAGGTCAGTCGAACTGGATGCTTAAGCCCTTACCTCTTTGAAACTAGTAGAGTCGTTCCCACATTGTATGTAGACATCTGATACCCCCGACTCACTGCCGATTCTGCTAGTCCGCGCGACACACCCGCGCTTGCGTAGTCCCACTCTCTCCCCTCTCCCATACTATACATCTTCGCCGTAGTCCGGAAGCAGCATCACATCAAGCCCACTGATATGATAATCCCACTCGTCTCCTACGACCCTGACAGTGTCCGAAGCCCCACCGGCTAGACGAACGCCGCCATCTACTGCCTGGCTAGCTCGCTGCATTCCTTCTCGTTCTTGAATGTCAGCAAATCGGCCTTCTCGACCAGTAGTGGGCAACGGGGGCGGACGCGACTGCCTAGGAATTGATTGGGGGATCCAGGACGATGTTCGAGAGGACGGAATCCGTAAACGAGCTCTATTGACTCTGAAGGCAGATGGTGGTGCGCGGGGCTCTTGCATGGAGCCGTAGTTTGAACTAGGTGGGGGGGCAAGGTACGAGGGAGGTGCCGGGTTTGGGTAATGCGTGTGATACGAAGGCGGGATTGTGCACGAGGATATAGACAGGTTGTCTGTGTAGTCGGAGGGGGAAGGAGTAGGCGCTGCAGCACTTGCTTGCGGAGGCTGAGTCCTCGACTCAATCCTGGTCGCATTGCCACCGGTTCAGGAACGTCAGTTGCTAGCTTCATCGAAACTCATCGTACGCACCATATGGTCGAAGGAGGATGATGTTCCTGAGCAGAAGGTCCGACGTTGCCACCGTCCTGGGAGTATCCGGATGTAGCACCACTAGCACCGAGACCAGTAGCGTCCGATGCCGCGGTATCGAGCAACCCGCGCTGGCTGAAATACATGGTCTGCTGGCCGTAGACACTCGCAGGGTCGTGATATGGGTTCAGCCTCGGTGGACGCGGCACAGCAAACACGTTAGAAGGCACGGTCTGGTTCGCGCCACCCACACTACGCGTCCTGTTCGACTCCATAACACTAATACCAGCGTTTTCACCAGCTGCGCCGCCTCTGCGAGCCAACGGAGATCGAGCGGAGGTGCCACCGTGAGTGTTGTCCGAGTACCCGGGGGCCACCGGGAGCGTGCCGCCTCGCGGACCTCCTCTTCCAAGAAGGTAGTCGCCGCCAGCGAAGGCTGGAGCAGGCCGGGCAGCCTTCACGGCGGCTTTGGCGACCTCGCGGCCAGACTTCTTGGCACGCCGAAGCCAGCGGATGACATCGATGACGACGGCGATGAAGAGCACAAGGCCGATGAGACTAAAGACAGCAGAGACGGCGGCGACCGCCGCGGTGTTTTGGAGGAACCTGAATTGAGGAAAGGATGGTTAGCGATACCGCAATGACACTCTAGTCACAGCCGTTTGCATGTCGAATTGCAGTCGTTCACTGGCACGTGCCAGCACGTCGTGACTATTTACGCGTGTTTGCTCTGCGTCCTGGCACGGATGAGCGCGGAGGTGCATCATGCCTGAGGACAAACTATCGCTCTCGATAATTTCTCAGACTGTGAAGGGTGCACAACCTGTCCTCTTAGTCTCTATTGGTAAGCTTTCAACAGGAAATCAGGCATGTCTCACTCGGTCGTGGTGGTAGACGTGGTCAGTCCCAAATCGGCGCTGGCCCGGGCCGATGGCGTTGCATATTCGGGCAAACAAACGTCGACGCGTCGACGGCCATCTGATCTGCACACGACTCGAAGGAACACGCCATGCGCGCGTTCAACGAACTGAATATCCGAATGGTGCAAGGGAGGACAAGCCGAAGACAGAGAGCTTACCCTTCGGAGGACCTATGAAGAGCGATTAGGATGGTATGCTAGTCCGCACTGAGGTGGACATACGTACGACGAAGGTGCAGACGAAGGAGAAGACGAAGGCGAAGACGAAGGCGAAGGGACGACTATAGGGATCGGCAGGAGTGATATGACTGAGAGAAGTCAGCTGCGAAGTCTGTAGTACCAAACACGGCCCGGGGGGACGGACTTTGTGGACGAGGAGACATGGCAAGAGTACAGGGTACAAAGCTGAGAAGGTAACGAGCGTAATGGCGGCCTCTGAAAAAGAGAGCGGTAACACCGAGCAGGGGGGGGGGCCAGGAGTCAGTCGATCGACTCCATCATATACACGGTGCCGTGATGCAGCAGATCATGCCTTTCACGATGAGAATGCGATGGTAAAGATGTAAGAGATGTCTAGCCTGGTGTATACGTATGGATTGCTACAATGGGCGATTGATCGCATCGCGCGCTCCGAGTTCACCTGACGTGCATAGCAACCAGGACGAGATAGATGGAGGTAACAAAGTAGAATGAACGACGGACGTAAGTGTATTACTATATGGATCGATGCAGGGCAGTGGAGAATGATACTCAGAGAAGGAGAAGGAGTGTACGATTGGAGGGAAGACAGGCTCACACCGCACACACCTGGGATCTGACCGACACCCTATTCGGCACAAGGAGGGATGTTTGCAACTGATGTAGTCCTTCTCGTGAGCAACGTAACTTCACGAACTCCAGAGGCACGCCCCGCCGCATCGCGCAGACAGGCTCAAAGTGTGCAGACACATGGGAAGAGGAGCCATTGCACTCGGTCCCATATATACGTTCACTGTCGCTTGTCAGTCGCCGACGCTGTCTGTCGGGGTGGCGTAATCTCGGACATCGCGTTCGTGTGTGCCTCTCCTTCTAGTCACCACGCGGTGGGTATGCAATCGTCCGCGAGCCAGAGAGGGCTCAAGAGCTGCCTGGATATCGACTCGAGCACGAACTTGTGGTTTGCAACCTGTTGCGTTATGATGTGGCTGTCTGGTGGAAGGGCAACGCTAGTGTCGGATGGCGAAGAGCCATGTCGGGCGGTGGAGAGACGAAGGGGCCACAGCGACGAGGTCCCCGCACAGGGCGTTTTGGTGATCGCGTCTGTACGGCATCACACACGCGGGATGCGCACGCGCTCAAGTTGGTCTGCGCGTGCGACGCGTCGACGGGTGCAGGCGAGCTGACAGAGAAACGTTGCGCTCGGGTCCAGACGTCCGCTGTCGCTTGTTGCTCGTCTCTCGATCTGTCGGCCCAGACGGGCTGTCCCGTCTTGGGTACGAATGTACTTCAAAACAAGGCGGCAGTGGTGTGATGACCCTTTTTGTCGCATTCGCTGGTGTAGGGTGTTGATGAGAGGTGCAGGTCAATCTCTCTGGACGAGATTGTGATCGTTGACGATGGCCATCTGTTTGAGGGACCGGCGGGTCAGTTCGGATAGAAGATGAAGCCTCATAGATGGCGCACGTACAAGTCGAGGGAGAATGGTGCTGAGTGCTATTGCGTATGTCCACGAGAGCGCGCACGGCAATGCGCACAGAGTCATCCTGGTCTGCTAGGGCCATCAGCAAATGTGCGAAACCGTGCCAGCGGCAATGCCATGCGTGGCAGGAATGGTAACGCCAAAATTGCCAAGCAGGGAATTGGAACGCATAAGCTCGCCATTCCAAACCTTGGGCAGGGCGAGGCGATAACAAGGCCGTCGGGAACTCCGGTGGCAATGTCATTACATACAGGAAGCTCGCCTTGTAATGTCATAGAATGACCATCTTTTGACATGCATACAGGATTGGAACTACATGGGCACAACAAATGCGGGTCCGCTCTTCGTGTGCCACGCAAGCAAGCGCGCATGGATTTCGTACGTTAGGGATGTGCCGCACGCAGCACAAGGCCTGCCAGCTTCTCCACTAGGCGTGTTCAATTCTTGTCGCTCGCTCATTTCCTCGCGCGCCTACCGGGCGTCTGCCTACCTGGATTCAAGGTCAGATCAAGCGCCTGTAGCACAGCCGCACAGGCAGCGGTGCAGCGAGATCGACGTTTTCGTCCTATGCTAGGTTTGTTATGCCCAGAAAATCTGTCCAGAAAGTGGATGGAGACGTCGGCAGATCGTTATAGGCTTGTTGACCGAGAATAATTGTACACAATGCGCCCAAATCGGAACCAGATTCGGCACGACACGCTTCTCTGGCCACCTGGGGTTGCCACTGTAAGCCTGATGGCAATTGGACTCAAAACCTTGCGGGACGACTCCGCGTCTCGAGTCATGGAGCTCACTATCTTTCAAATCGTTAAGCTTTCGCGTCGCTCCTCAGTCCCAGCTCGCGACGCTCATGCTGTCACGGA